GATTTTATTGAATAATTTTATAATTATCTTCACTACCTATATAATTTTTTAACAGGAGCTAATACATATATAGAGTACTTATTTTTTCAATTTATCAATTTTGTAGGTGGACAGGAACGGATATTTTCAGAAGATGCAGGAAAAGTTCAGGAAGAAATCCCAGAAACTGTTCCTTTCCCTTGCAACGTTACAGGTAATTCAATAATAATGTAATAATACTAGTATTTAATATAACTTATTAATTATTAATTTACTAGGCGGTAGATCTTCTGAGATACCCGATTCGGTCCATCGTTTAAGGCCAGGTGACATAGACGTTATCGCCCAGATGGGAGATTCATTGAGTGCCGGTAGCGGAATTTTTGCGACCAGATTTATGCATCTCTTTATCGAGAACAGAGGCGTAGTTGCGGCAATTGGCGGTGAAGGGACCTGGCGAAAGTACCTTACACTTCCCAATATTCTCAAAGTATGTTATCTTTAATAATTTATCAATCATTTAAAAATGAAAGAAATTATTTAGTAATGAAAAGACTTTGTTATTTGAAAAGTCCATGTTCAGCAGTAAATCCGTTAGGGTACAACATTTGATGGTAACTTGAGTACGCCTTCGATAGATAAACGTTTTTGTACACAGGAGTTCAATCCTAATCTAATCGGCTATTCGCTTGGGGATTCTGCAACCACGCAGCCACAATCGGAAATGAACGTTGCTGAGGTCGGTGCAATGTCTAAAGACATGCCTTTCATGGCAGAACAACTGGTTAAGAAAATGAAAAATGATCCAAGAATAAATATTCAAAAACATTGGAAGGTTCGTACTTTTAAACAAATGTTAAATAAATAAAAGCATATGCTTTTCTTTTCTCATTGTACTGTGGCTTGTCGTTTGATTCTACAATTTTATAATATTTTTAATTGTTTAATCAATCTATTTCTGTGTTTCAGTTAATTTCGTTATTTATTGGAAGTAACGATTTCTGTAGCGAAATGTGTATATCTCCTTCCCCATGGTCTATCTTAGAGTCACATAAGAATGATTTGATAACTACTCTCAGAATATTGAGGGACAATTTACCAAGAACGTTCGTTTCCATTCTCATACCTCCACACTTAAAAGCATTTATTAATTCACGTAAAGGAAGATTCTCATTGGACTGCTATTTCATTACAAATATCGTATGTCCATGCTTAATCGGTTTGCAATACAAAGATCGAAGAGCAGAATATTATAATGTAATAAGTAGGTCTGTATGTGTCTAACGTAAATAAAATTATATTGTGCCTACACAATTTTCTATATATCTA